ATTGGAACGAAACAGAGAAGATTAGCACGATGGAAGCTGTGCAAAAAAGATGACACACAGAAATCTAGAAATGGTCCAAAGTCCTCACAAGAGTTATCCCTATAACTCGTTCATTTCAACCCTTCAACCACTTCGCTGCTCTCTCTCTCTCTCTCTCTCTCTCTCTCTCTCTCTCTCTCTCTCTCTGTCTGTGCAGCTGTAATAATAACTGGGCGTTCTATTCACGTGAAGACGACAGGATACCTCTTCAAGTCCATAGGGGAACAAAGAGAAGGAAGAAAACAGATACGAAAGAAACAAGGAAGAAAACTTGTGTGCCTCAAAAACCTTTTCAAACAAGAGGAAAACGTACACATACCTAGAATGTACATGGATAGAAGCGCAGAGAAGCTCCGTGGCACAAGGACACCTGCCCCTAGAGGCAATCCTGATGTGGAATCCACAACAGCCATACACGCATTCGTAGCACCAAGGTAAATGCACGCCGTGGGGCCGTCAGGAGGAGGATTTGATGCTCGCGGCCCCTTCTTGCCAGTTCCCATTGCCGGAGGTGCGTTTGAGATCCCAACATCCATTGTTGTTGGGATAGGAGCAAACACGATCGACATCACTCCCGATGTTGGCTCTCTGTTCGGGAACACCCGTCCATAATATGTTAGGGCGCCGGTGCTGAGGTTGATAATGGTTATCTGTTGACAAAGAAGAAAAAGAGGAGAAAAAGAGAAAAAGAGGAGAAAGAAGAGAAAGAAGAAAAAGAGGAGAGAAAGAAGAGAGAAGTGAAAGAAGAGAAAGAAGAGAAAGCCGAGAGGCACGACATCAAACAGCTGATCAGAACGGGTAAAAGTTGAGTGATCAACACGCATGAGCATTCTATATAGACGGACAGACAACACAGTGGGTCTCCGTCACTCTCATTATGATCTCATCAGAGCAGCGCAAACACATACCAAAGAAACGAAAAGAAAAGAAAAAAAAGGCAATCCATCCAGATCATTTCGACAGGGATTCCGCCACCGTGTGATCACTCGATGGTCGATTCAACTGTAGACCGCCATCGCTCACACAGTACAGCAATACAGGACCAAGAACGCCAGCCCTACAGGACCAAGAATGTTGCCCACACAGGCTACCGAATATCACCCATGCATCACCCACCAGAATATCATCGTACAGCTGTAACAGCACCCGAAATATCACTCGTACAAAGGACCCAGAAAATTGCCCGCACAGAGCCCTGACGGGCACCCATATAGGACCCAAAATGTCACCCATACAGGACCCAAAATGTCACCCGTAGCTGCTACAGTCCTGAAAGGTCAAGGTCGTAGCTGCTACAGTACTCGAAAGGCCAAGCCCACAGACTTCCGGAAGTTCCTGAAGCAGCCTTTCAAAGTTTGTCTCACGTTTAGACAGAGGCAAGTGGGCAAGTGGTGAGCTCAACTGCGTTACGTCGGCAGTGCGACTGCATCGAATGGACAGTATAAACCCATGCAGTCAGCGGTACCAGTCCAGTCAGTCCCAGTCCAGTCCAGCAAGTACCAAGAGTGACTGTGTGCACCAAGGGACTGGGAAAAGGGCAGACCAACGAGTTACAGACATATAAATCAAGAGGCAGCGCTCAGCCATACATTCATTCGCTGCGTAAGCCATGCGGAAGCGCTGCTACAGCGTCTTGTGCGAAGGTGGTCTGCAGGTTGCCCAAAGACGAAGTGGGCTGAAGAGATCGTAGCCATAGTTAGTAGTGGTAGTGCGGCCATAGCCGCTGTAGGAGGAAGTTCAACACAGAGTGTATGTGTGTGGCGGTATTCAGTGTGATCCAGAGTGAGCGAGTGTGAACAGTGGGGTTGGACACAGTGACGAAGGTTGGGATGTTCAGGCGCTGATGGGCCATAGCTTGTTGAAGAGAACTTGCATCTGAACTGTGTTATTGATTTCCATATCTCTAAGCTTTGAGTGGGCGCCCTGCGCCAGTGTGAGTCTCCATCTGTTTGCATGTGTGCGAAGTGGAAAGAAAGCGAGTCTGATTGCAGACGCCATACAAAAAAAAAAAAAAAAAAAAAAAAAAAAAAAAAAAAAAAAAAAAAAAATCACCCATACAGGACCCAAAAGGGCACCCATACAGTAGGCAAAATGTCACCCATTCAGGCCACAGGAAGTCACCCATACAGGACCCATAGAGGACCCGGAATATCACCCATACAGGACCCAAAAGAACATCCATACAGGATGCAAAATGCCACCCATTCAGGACCCCAAAAGTACACCCATACAGGACCCCAAGTTTAACTTCAACAGTTTTGGCCCCTTTCAAAAGTCTTTGACAGTTTTGGGGGTTTTGTTACAAAAAGCTAGGAAGATTCCCATGACCGGCCGGTCCGGACCGGCCGGTCACCCGGTCATCACGACCGGACCGGTCCCATGCCCGGGTATCCCGGTCGTCAAAAGAAAGGGCCCAGAATTCTTTTTTATTTTTTATTTTTTGCGGGCTTGTTCCGCGCTC